CTTTATTGTATGATGCTAACAGAATTCTATTGTATGTGGGACCATTTATGTTGCATGAAGTAAACCTACCACATAATGGTCATGAGGCCACCACCTGTCCGTCAGGTGATTCTACTCTATTTGCTGTGTGTACCCATGATGCTAGAAGATATTCCACTACTAGCCGTGCCTCTCAAGGCAGTGAACTTTCAGCACAGTTCCTGATCCAAGACAAACTGGGAAGAAAGACCTGGTAATCTACAGGAAACTAGTTAATGAAACCTTTATGGATCCCTACATAACACTGTCCAGCTGCCTTACTTTGAACACAAAGTAAGGATCAATTGCTATAGCTGAACACCAGCTTTGCTGAAGCCGGAGACCAGCATGGGTAAGAGAGACGGACAAGAACAAAGGACACAGTGATCGCCATGAACATGTGGTGACTGTGAGGAGAACAGAGGATCAGGCAATGTTTCATTCAATGTACATGGGCTTGCTATAAGTTGAAATGATTCAATGACAACTCTCTCTCTCTAAATTCCACAACTGTTTAACAAGTATAGATATGACTACTGACATTTTAAAAATTATATTTTCCCAATATGCTGGGAAATAGTGGGAACATAATGTTGCAATGTTCATGCCCTTCTTATGTTGTTGTTGTTGAGTGCTGTAGAGTCGGTTCCAACTCAGAGCAACCCTGTATAGGGTTTACAAGGAATGCCTTGTGGGTTTGAATCAACCTTGTGATTAGCGGTCCAGCGCTAGTTTACTAGTCCAGCAAAGGAGTCCTGGTGTGGTGCTGTGGGTTAATGTGCTGGACTGCAAAGTTGGCTTAATCGGCAAAATCAATGGAAAAAGCTCACCAGTAGCTTCTTGGAAACCATATATAGGGTCGCTATGGGTCAGAACCAACTCGATGGCACATAACAACAATAACAACAACAACAGTTCAGCAAAATCATTTATGTATGTAAAAAGGGGGTAAAAATTAATTTTATTTATGTTTCTGTATCTTTATATATGATCCATGTATAGATTTACATCTCTTTCATAGACAAGCAGCTAAAATGATTCTTTAACTCTCAGATTTTTATAGCAGTTCCACAATTATACGGATCTAACAATAACAACAAATCTCTAACTCCAGTCATCAGTCTTGTTAAGTTTTATACTTTGAAGTTCTATGTGGCGCTGTAGAACAAGCCCTGAGCTGCTAACCACAAGGTCAGTGGTTCAAACTCACCAGCTGTTCCCTAGCAACCCCACACAGGGTCATCAGTAAAATATTTGCCATGGCACAGCTAAATATAACAAGAACACTCACCCATATGCTTACGTTACTACTAATACATTACTTTTTGTACCTGCTACGTGGTACTATTATACCCCATGTAATTGTTCTCTACCTTCCTGAACACATTTTTACAGGAACCTTCATTAACTCCTGTTCTAACAGTGTTGTTTTTGCCAATCATAAGGGACAACTGCCTATCATCTCTCTGCTGTGTCCCTGGAAAGCTATTGCTAAGTGTCCTAGTCATCTTTTCCTCTACAAACCCAACCAAGGTTCTCCCTGAATAGAACTTTCTCTTTCTACAAAGAAGCAGACTTTTCATCAATCATGTATATTTTTTATTGTTTTCACATCCTTACATTTAGGAACAAAACCCTCTAAAACATGTGCTGCTTATAGTTACTTACATATATGTTCTATGATTCTTGTAAAAATTCAGACATTAGTGGGGGTTGTGAGAAGAGCAAAAAGTTCAGAGACACTAACTAGCTAGTGCTTAAATTCTCTGTGCCTCCCCCATGTATTAAGTAAAGGTAGTAAGCTCACCTAGCATGGTGGTGTGAGAATTGAAGAAGAATATATTATAGAGAAATTGGCATAGTTCCTCGTGCATGGCAGATAGTTAATATATGGCAGCTATTATGCCTTTGGGGAGCATGGTGGCTCTAAAGGATAAGCACAGGACTGTTAACCACAAGTGTGGTGGATAGAGTCCACCAGTCACTCCTCAAAAGAAAGATGAGGTTTCCTGCTGCCGCAAAGCTTTACAGCATCAAAAATCCTATTCAGGGTCACTACGAGTTAGAACGGACTGGACAGTACTTAACAACAATAGTCTGCCTTCATTATTTACACAGTGTATGTTTCTTTTTGTTGTTTTTCTAAAGTCCTCTCAAGGAGTCCACTTACATAAATTTGCCTTCAATAAGGCTGAGTACCTAATCATGAACTTTTCAATAGTCTCATATATATATATGTGAGAGATAGGCAATGGAATAGGAAGATTAAAGTACTGATGCAATGGAACTATGTTGTTGCTGTTAAGCGGTGTCTAGTGGTTCCCAACTCATAGCAACCCTGCATAGGGGTTTTGAGGAGTGGCTGGTGGAACTGGGCCACTGAACTTGTGGTTTGCAATCCAATGCCTATCCTACATAGCTACACCAGAACGCCACTGGAACTATGGTGTGGGAAAAGAATGATATATTATGGACTGCCAAAAGAACAAGTTAGTCTTAGAAGAAATGCAACCAGAATGTTGCTTACAACAATGAGTCCATTGTTGCTGTCACTGTGAGAATCCATCTCATTTGGGGGTTTCCTCTTTTACAATGATGTTACATTTTACCAAAAAGGGTGTCCTTCTCCAGGGACTGATCCCTCCTGACAACACCAAAATACATGAGATGAAGTCTTACCATCCTCACTCCTAATGAGCATTCTGGCTATACTTCTTCCAACACAGATTCAATTACTCTTCTGGAAGTCCATGGTACTTTCAATATTCTTTGCCAATATCATCATTCAAATGCACCAACTCTTCTACAGTCTTTCTTAATCATAGACCAACTTTCACATGCATATGAGGCTGTTGAAAATACCATGACTGGGGTCAGGCGCACCTTAGTCCTCAAACTGACATCTTTGTTCGTGAACATGTTAAAGAGATCTTTTGCAGAAGATTTACCTAATAAAACACATTCTTTGATTTCCTGACTGCTGCTTCTATGAGTATAGACTGTAATATAAGCAAAATGAAGTCTTTGGTATCTTTGATCTGTTCTCCATTTATAATGATGTTATTTATGGGTCCAGTTGTAAGGATTCTTCTTTTCTTTACATTGAGGTGCAATCCATACTGAAGGTTGCTTTTGATCTTCATCAGTAAGTATTTTAAGTCATCTTAGCTTTCAGAAAGCAAGGTTGTATCATCTACATATCACAGGCTGTTAATGAGTCTTGTTCCAGTCCTAAAGCCATATTCTTCTTCATATGTTATCATATTATTTGCTCAGCATAGATTAAGTGTGGTGAAAGAATACAACACTGGTGTACACCTTTCCTGATATGAAACCATTCAGTATCCCCTTGTTCTTGTAAGAACTGCCTCTTGTTCTAGATAAAGATTCCTCAGGAACACAATTAAGTGTTGTGCAATGCTATCCATAGTGTATTATGGTCCATACAATTGAATGCCTTTGCATAGTTACTATGGTAACAAGTATGCATCTTTCTAGTATTCTTCGCTTTGAGCTAGGAGCCATCTGACAGCATCATTGATATCCTTTGTTCCATGTCCTCTTCAGGATCCAGCCTGAATTTCAGTCAGCTCCCTCCTGAAAACACTTTTGAATTATCTTGAGCAAACATTCACTTGCATGTTATATTAATGATATTGTTCAAAGAGTTCTGCATTCTGCTGTGTCACCTTTCTTTGCAATGAGACAAACATGGATCTTTTGCATATGGTTGCACAAGAAAGTTCTAACTTTCTTGGATTGATAACTGAGCTCATTCAGTGCTACATGAGTTTATTGTAACATTTCTATTTGCATTCTGTCAATTTCTGGAGCCTTGTTTTCTGTCAAGCATTCAGTATAGGTTTAACTTCTTCCTTCAGTACAATCAATTCTTGAAATGGTTGAGCATCAACTAATTATTTTTGTATGTTTAGTGTCGTTGAGTCAGTTCTGAGCCATAGCGACCCTGTATAGGGTTTCTGAGGAATGGCTGGTGAACCTGAACTGTAGGCTTTGTGGTTCAAACTGACATTGCAATCCAGCGCATTAGCCCACAGTGCCACACCAGGAC